AGTATTATCACATTCAAATTAACAAAATAAAATTTATGCTCATTAACCAAGACACTCAAACCACCAAGAAAAAACCCAACGCATCCTACACCACATTTTCTTTATGTTCATTAACCATAGCATCAAGGATCAAAATTTTATTTCGGTGTATTATTTCAATCACCTAGAAAATAAAAAAGTTTCGACTTGCTTCAGAAATATTTTGACCCGTTTAGAAAACAGAATTAAAAAAAACTAAAAAATTTAACAATTATTTTTTCAAAATATACCAAAATATCTTTAAATACCTTGAAACATTCCGAAATAATTGTATAAATGCATTGAAAAATAACAAAGTATTTCGAAACATTATGGAATACCTCGATATATTAGAATTTTGAATTCATCACTGATTCATTTGCTTTCCTTGAAAACGGAAACGTTTTGAATGTTTCAACCGTTTCAAAACGATGTTTTGATCCTTGCATAGCATTCAAGGCTACAATTCCCAAGAACTTTAACTAAAACATTAATTCAGCAAAATCACATAGGGTGTAGAGAGAAAATATTGGGTGGACAGATGGTTGAAATAAGAGGGGTGTTGTGCTTGGGTTGGATTTAAGAGGGGTGGCTGTGACAGCATGTTTCCAGCTGCATTATAGATCATGTCATAACCTACAAGATCAACACATACCAATTGATATTGTTTTATCCAAGCACTCATAACTACATTGAACCAACAGTCGAGATGTTTCATCAATGACCCCCACAAAAAATGTCTCATTATGATCACCTGCATAAGGGACAAGTCTGTCAATTGTTAAAAACATAGTATATGAATGATGCTGTGAAACAATGATAGAGATATAATCATTCTTACCATGGACAATTTTATAGTACACGGCTACATCCACATTTAAAATATCACCATCCTCTAATTTCCAAAAAATAGTTAATAATACATATTCAATCCAATAGCATCACTCAGATTCAACATAAGTTTATAGGTTAGCAAAAGGTATCCCTTGTGACTGTGCAAAGGTATCCCTTGTGGCTTAATCATAAGGAATCAAATCTTAAAAATTTCTTACTAAATGAAATAAAGTTAGCCCTATCTATTTGAAGCTATCTTCATGGAGGAACATCAAAATTTTAAGAAGCATGGTCAATCCTAGTTTTCTCCAAGTCTTCACCTTCAAGATAGGTAATCAAGGCATAAACCTTAGTTCTTGGGGAATTTTCACGAAATCCCCAACTAGGTTATCAACATTGCATAATTTATAGCCGAGGGAGGCTTTACATGGTTTTGGATTAACCATCACAAGGAGACTATGTGCTTGACATATTAGTCCTTTGGTGAGACTCGAGCCTTTCCTCCGAAACATTGTTCCAACAGCAATATTAAGATTCAAATCAGCTATGAGAGAAATTTCCAATTTGGTGCAATTTTGGAGGGAATTGTTACTTCTTCATTGTTGGTGTCTTTGTTGACGGCATCTTCTCATTTCTACTTTTGTTTGAGTGCATATCCAAGCAATTCNACTTCTTCATTGTTGGTGTCTTTGTTGACGGCATCTTCTCATTTCTACTTTTGTTTTAGTGCATATCCAAGCAATCCTAGATTAGAAAATGATGAAACTATGCATGCAACTTACAAGAAGACAAATGCATTTCACGCTAACATGATTTCAAAAGGAAAATGTTAATGAGAGTAACTTACTCGGCAAGTCTCTATCATGCTCTCAATNCTAGATTAGAAAATGATGAAAACTATGCATGCAACTTACAAGAAGACAAATGCATTTCACGCTAACATGATTTCAAAAGGAAAATGTTAATGAGAGTAACTTACTCGGCAAGTCTCTATCATGCTCTCAATTTGCTCCAAAGTTTTCACCTTCAAAAGATCCGTGAATTTGAAAAGCAACATAAATTGAGGTCATATCCATCTATCGAAAAGCAACATAAATTGAGGTCATATCCATCTATCCAATGCCAAAATTATCCACCATTATATCAATGGAAGAACTATCCTTTCTGATCTAAGGTTACCTCAACAACTATCCTTTCTGAACTATCATAGTATTCTATGCTTACTATTTAAGTATTAAGCATAGAATGCTATGTTAGAAACAAAAAAAAAATTGATACACGAACAATATGGACATGCCATGTGTCATAGATTGAGGAGTTAGTAAAATCTAGCATCCATACACACGTCCAAGTAGATTTAACCATGTACCACTCGATATAAATAGGCCTTAGGAGTTAGAAANATACACACGTCCAAGTAGATTTAACCATGTACCACTCGATATAAATAGGCCTTGGGAGTTAGAAATATCAATCTGGTATCCTAAACTTGAATCATGTCTCTAGCACAAGCTCTGCTGAAGCAAGTATTGATCAAAATTGCAAAACATAATGTCAAAGGAACAAATTAGAATATAAAGTCTAAGAATAAAAATACAACAAGAAAAAAAAGAGCAATACCCTGTCAATCAAAATGTGATGAAGTTTTGGAGTTTGAGCCTGCCCTTTACTCGAGCAATATAACCAACCATCAACCAGTAAGGCTGAATTTTGTTCACCAAGGGTAGCCGATGCAAGTGAGGACAACTTTACCTTCAAATGGACTGATTTGTGAGAGCTCCAGGATGCCTTGAAGCAGTCATGAGCGCTGGTAAAAGATAAAACTTATTAAAACCAAAGGAGTAAACTACGGCCAAAAAATTGTTAGGAATAGAAAGTTCAGATGACAGCATGTTCAGGTCAAGGCTTAAATTTTCTTTTTCAGGATAACATTTGACTCATCAGACTAAAACGCAACAAAATCATCAATGATGAGCATTCAGAGTGAATACTCATCAGGGTTACATGTTTCTTACCTTCATCTGAGCTTTCAGTGGAGGTAAGGAATGCAGTGTTTGAAGAACATATAAGTTTCTTCAGTGACCTCTTCTTAGTCTCCAATTATGAAGCACTAGGAAACCTTCCACCATAACGCCTTCCACACAAAACTACTAAGCATAAAATAAAATTCAAGGTGGGACTAAACAACACCAGACACATGCACCCCACACAACCCATTCCAAGACATTAGACAAAAATCTGTCGTTTATAACTTAGGAAGCAACAATTTATCAGAATTTACAAAGGGCACACACAATTCAATTAGTTTATTTGCTTGTAGAATACCTGCAAATATCACAGCAAGAACCAATAGTGGATTAGGAGATGATTGTGGTACTCACAAAAGGGTAAAATTAAAAGTAGTGTTATGGCAAGGGTTAATGGTTTTTCTCTTTTTTCTCAAGTTCACGAGTATTATTACAGTGATATATACCACCCAACAGATTTTTCATTCCCTCTTATCAATTAAATGCAATTCTTATATTGGGAAGGAGAGTATATATTTGTTTGTTATGAGAAACAAGTTTCTCAATACATGAAAAAAAAGTAAAAAATGGTGAATAAGACATCCACCAAATGAAAAGGGAAAAAAGATAATGCAGTGAAGGTCTTATGATTACAAATGACAATCCAATTCCGGCGTAATAATGAGAGGGGGAAATCACAGAACTCCTTTGCTAGAAGAAGTGATGATTTATGGCCACTAGTCCAACTTCCATGCAAAATAAATCCATCTTCAATTCATCATGCTAGACACAGAACTATGTGGTAAGTCAACACTATTTATGTAACTACCTGCATGAATCATCTGGTTGATGCACAACAGAAAGTATTTGTCTATAANTATGTGGTAAGTCAACACTATTTATGTAACTACCTGCATGAATCATCTGGTTGATGGCACAACAGAAAGTATTTGTCTATTANTGTGGTAAGTCAACACTATTTATGTAACTACCTGCATGAATCATCTGGTTGATGCACAACAGAAAGTATTTGTCTATAACCTTTTTCACCATTGCTACTACTGCTCAAGCTCAAATCAGTGTACTCCTCTAAGAAGTCTATCACCGTATGAAAACAATCACTTCAAAAACAGAATATTAAACTTATTAGAAGTTTTCAGGAAGATATGGACATAAACATCCAACACAAGAATCAACAGAATTGATTATAGATGGGGAGTTACCGGAACCTGAAAGGAGGTGAATGTGATCAACCCTTGTGAATGCAGCCAAATTTGATGTTGTGGAAATGATCATACACTGACAATAAATCCTTCCTTTTTATTTCCACTACAAAAGATGGGACGTTATAGATTTCAAATTCTCCACCATTGTACCTATCCACTCTAGGAGGGATATATCGAAATGAATCTAGAGCAATGATGAAGATTAATCACAACCAAAATAGAATACTAGAATCATTAATCTAACGGATTTTACCTTGGATTTTTTGCCATAATTGGTAACCTTCCAGAACTTATTTGCACCTCAGCATTTGATAGATACAAGTGGGATCTCTCAGGGAGCCTTACTGTCAGATTTATCTCCAGAAACTTTGTTCTCTGCAGCTTCTTGAGCATCAAAAGCAGTTTCTGAAAAACATTCGTTTTTCTCTCTCTGGACAATCCTANGAATGTGATCAACCCTTGTGAATGCAGCCAAATTTGATGTTGTGGAAATGATCATAGACTGACAATAAATCCTTCCTTTTTATTTCCACTACAAAAGATGGGACGTTATAGATTTCAAATTCTCCACCATTGTACCTATCCACTCTAGGAGGGATATATCGAAATGAATCTAGAGCAATGATGAAGATTAATCACAACCAAAATAGAATACTAGAATCATTAATCTAACGGATTTTACCTTGGATTTTTTGCCATAATTGGTAACCTTCCAGAACTTATTTGCACCTCAGCATTTGATAGATACAAGTGGGATCTCTCAGGGAGCCTTACTGTCAGATTTATCTCCAGAAACTTTGTTCTCTGCAGCTTCTTGAGCATCAAAAGCAGTTTCTGAAAAACATTCCTTTTTCTCTCTCTGGACAATCCTATCTTCTACACACATCCCACCATTGAACACGTTCAACTTTCACCCTTACTCCTCATCTTGCGAATGTACATATGAACCAGACCGAGTTGATGGATCACTTTCATTTAGCTCCGCCTCAATTGATGGCAGAAGCTCTAGTTTAATCACATAGCCTGATGAAGTATAAACTAATAGATGCTCTGAGGAATTAACCCCAGAGTGAACATCCTGCAAACCATGTGATACGGAACTGTGAAAAATCAGCTGCACCAGCACAAGATGGCAGGTTAACCTTTCCTTTTGCAGAAGCAGCAGTATTAACTGAATAAGCAATCCCGAGGCATTATTCTTTATCCTCCTTACCACATAAAGGGTAAAAGGGTGCCGAGGTGAAGAAGATTGCTGGTTTAGGATGAAAGATGAAGTAGACCGCCGTGGTAGAGATACAATGGGATATGGGCATAGACCTTTGCCATGAGAAACAAGAGTTTGAAAGTTGGTATTGCCACCAAAGGGGATAAAAAGTGGCAAGTCCCTTTGGATGGATATTAGCAATCCACTGATAGTAACGACTGAAGCACATGTCTTGGATGCTGCCAAATAAAACACAGTAATCCGAACAAGATGCACAAACTTAGATCATTTGGAAAGGGAGAGAAGAAAATAATGAATACTGATACACAGATGTATTCTAGCAGCTGTTATCATTCCACGATAGAACTTGTAAAGCTGCACATGAGANACTTCAAAAACAGAATATTAAACTTATTAGAAGTTTTCAGGAAGATATGGACATAAACATCCAACACAAGAATCAACAGAATTGATTATAGATGGGGAGTTACCGGAACCTGAAAGGAGGTGAATGTGATCAACCCTTGTGAATGCAGCCAAATTTGATGTTGTGGAAATGATCATAGACTGACAATAAATCCTTCCTTTTTATTTCCACTACATAAGATGGGACGTTATAGATTTCAAATTCTCCACCATTGTACCTATCCACTCTAGGAGGGATATATCGAAATGAATCTAGAGCAATGATGAAGATTAATCACAACCAAAATAGAATACTAGAATCATTAATCTAACGGATTTTACCTTGGATTTTTTGCCATAATTGGTAACCTTCCAGAACTTATTTGCACCTCAGCATTTGATAGATACAAGTGGGATCGCTCAGGGAGCCTTACTGTCAGATTTATCTCCAGAAACTTTGTTCTCTGCAGCTTCTTGAGCATCAAAAGCAGTCTCTGAAAAACATTCCTTTTTCTCTCTCTGGACAATCCTATCTTCTACACACATCCCACCATTGAACACGTTCAACTTTCACCCTTACTCCTCATCTTGCGAATGTACATATGAACCAGACCGAGTTGATGGATCACTTTCATTTAGCTCCGCCTCAATTGATGGCAGAAGCTCTAGTTTAATCACATAGCCTGATGAAGTATAAACTAATAGATGCTCTGAGGAATTAACCCCAGAGTGAACATCCTGCAAACCATGTGATACGGAACTGTGAAAAATCAGCTGCACCAGCACAAGATGGCAGGTTAACCTTTCCTTTTGCAGAAGCAGCAGTATTAACTGAATAAGCAATCCCGAGGCATTATTCTTTATCCTCCTTACCACATAAAGGGTAAAAGGGTGCCGAGGTGAAGAAGATTGCTGGTTTAGGATGAAAGATGAAGTAGACCGCCGTGGTAGAGATACAATGGGATATGGGCATAGACCTTTGCCATGAGAAACAAGAGTTTGAAAGTTGGTATTGCCACCAAAGGGGATAAAAAGTGGCAAGTCCCTTTGGATGGATATTAGCAATCCACTGATAGTAACGACTGAAGCACATGTCTTGGATGCTGCCAAATAAAACACAGTAATCCGAACAAGATGCACAAACTTAGATCATTTGGAAAGGGAGAGAAGAAAATAATGAATACTGATACACAGATGTATTCTAGCAGCTGTTATCATTCCACGATAGAACTTGTAAAGCTGCACATGAGAAGAGGCCAGTCATAGGTTTGAGTGGCTGCACTAATATGTATCGAAGAATCAATTTCCTTAACAAAAACCTGCATTCAATTAATAACGAGAAAAACATAACATCTAAAAAGACACAGATATAGTGGTTTTTCAGCTGTGGCATGAAAATCCATGTATACATCTACTTTTCAACCTTATAACTGTCAACCATAAATTTCACTTCTTTTTCCTCATTAAATTTTGACTTCATTCAATCAATTAAACATAAAGGCTTCATTTGTTTCAATAGACACCAAATAAGGAAATGACTTTTAGTCTCAGCCATTGGTATTGCCAGCATATTACCACGAATAAATGTTAATCACCCTGTATAAAAGACTTGCACATCATGAGATATAAACTCAACATAGAAGGTATCATCCATCTTACAACAAGGAAGTTATTTTTATACATTAATGTGAAATTCAGAAATGTAATTGACTAAGCACCTATACATTTTAATGTAGCAAGGCAAAGCAATCATGCCATTCTAACTCCATTAAAAATCAAATTTTCCAAAAATAAAACAAGTACAATAAAAATTTCTAGGCAGAACTTTTGATTACTTTGCCCAGATGCCTAACCTGATAAAAAATAATAATAGAATTTTCTGAATTAACAATGATTATAAGCTAACAACCACCTTGGACCTACAACTTTTGGACCATTCCCAATATTGACCCCAACCTGTTCCTAATCCTCCAAAATGAGGAAAGGAANTTTTGATTACTTTGCCCAGATGCCTAACCTGATAAAAAATAATAATAGAATTTTCTGAATTAACAATGATTATAAGCTAACAACCACCTTGGACCTACAACTTTTGAACCATTCCCAATATTGACCCCAACCTGTTCCTAATCCTCCAAAATNACCTGGTAAAAAATAATAATAGAATTTTCTGAATTAACAATGATTACAAGCTAACGACCTTGGACCTACAACTTTTGGACCATTCCCAATATTGACCCTTGTCCTCCAAACTGAGGAAAGGGATAGGTGAGAACACTGAGTTTGTCCTCAACAGTAAGTGTATATCAATGCAGTGTATCTGCCACAAGGGAGGGTAATAGTAAGCCATCAAATTTCTTGCCGCAGCAGAAACCTTACCCAAATAAAGTACAAAACTTAGTACTTTAAACACTGGTTCCAATACACTATAAATCATTAATGCTTATTGCTTCATATGCACAGAGCTCAAGTACATATACATTCNAATGCAGTGTATCTGCCACAAGGGAGGGTAATAGTAAGCCATCAAATTTCTTGCCGCAGCAGAAACCTTACCCAAATAAAGTACAAAACTTAGTACTTTAAACACTGGTTCCAATACACTATAAATCAGTAATGCTTATTGCTTCATATGCACAGAGCTCAAGTACATATACATCCTTTCTACATTCCACGGAAGAGTAGCAGAATTTCATTACCAATCCCTGTCCTAGATCTATGATATTAGTTACAACATTTGTTAATGCAATATGGTGTTCAAGATATAATTCTTACCCAAAATATAATGAATCGGACAGCTGATAGTTTATTATAATGGGGTGGACATATAAAATAAGTTGGAGCTTACTAGCATTTCAAGACCCAGAGCTACAATCCGATGACTACATCTGACCATCAACACTGCCGCCTGGAACCTGAAGGTCTGCACATAAAAGTTAGAACTTATAGAGAAAAATCGACTAGCTGTAGGAGAGTTGATGGCATACCCCGAATGAAACTCCATATAACCATCTCTGCCACACCCACCCAAATGACAACGCTTTTGATCAAGGCTTAACTTGTTGGTCTCATCACCCGCAACAACCAACATTACAGGATGTGACCTTCTGAATCCTTCATTACCCTGATAATTTGCAGGAATCGACAGCATATATAAAGAACAATTATAAATGCAGTATGGTACTCAACAAATAATTCCCACTTACAGCATAAAGTATCTCACAGCTGTTTGTTTATTTTAACCTTGTCGACAAAATAAATAAGTTAAAGCTTACTTGCATTTCAAGACCCAGAGTTACAATCAGATGACATCTTGCCATTAACACAGCCCATTGGAACCTGAGAACCTGCATGTAACAGTTCGATCCAGCTTTAATTGCCCAAGCCAGGCTAAGTTACCTGCTTTACCAATAAAACTTTTCAACTGTGTCCAGGTAAATGAAGTCCAATACAGTCAACTGGGAAAATTGTATAATCAAAAGAATCAGATTCAAACACTGCTGGTTCTTTAAAAAAAAAAAAAAACTCTTAATGAAATTAAGCATTGAGATAGAGTTTACCAAGGCAAGGTCACAGCAACAAGCTGTAGAAAATTGATGAATGCACTGCAACATCAAATCAACGATAGTCCTATATCATGCATGAATGTAAAACATCTTATGAATAAACTGCATCCAAAAGATTACCCTTTTTAATTATATATTTAATAGAATGAGCTAAGTAAATCAACAATCTATATCATGATCCAATAAGAATCAAGAGATTTCATCGACTCCTTAACCTGGTTGAGATATGGTAAGACAAAAGCAAACCCTCTAATTCCCTCTGTCTCATCAGGCTCTTCTTAGACAATTCTATTTGCTCAACAAACACTTGTGCATATGGTATACCTCTTTCTTTCTTTCTGCACCAAAGGCATGTGTCGCCCGTCTTGCTTGCTATCTGGTGCATTAATGGAAAAAAGTAGTTAAAAAATTAGTTAGATGTTCCAACATCAACCCAGGGAAAATTCATCTCAACAAGAAGGGGAAAAAGTAAAACTTGAATCATCCAAACTATTTAATAATGACGTTAGCAAGTCGAGAAATATTTTTTCTATATAAAGAAATAAAGAAGAGGCAAGGCTAGTAAATTCAAAACAACCAAGCATAATTCAAGGGGGGACTAAGCACCCCAAGACACATGCACTTGTAGGCATGTGTGCATGTGCACAACCCCCCGCAACACATTCCAAGACATTAGACAAAAATCTGTTGTTTATAACTTAGAAAGCAACAGTTTATCAGAATTTACAAAGGGCACACACAATTCAATTAGTTTATTTGCATGTAGAATACCTGAAAATATCGCAGCAAGAACCAATAGTGGATGGACATGATTATGGTACTCACAAAAGGGTTAAAATTAAAAGTAGTGTTATAACAAGTGTAAATGGTTTTTCTCTTTTTTCTCAAGTTCACAAGTATTATTACAGTGATGTACCACCACCCAACTGATTTGGCATTCACTCTTATCAATTAACTGCAATTCTTATATTGGGAAGGAGAGTAAGTGCTATTTAAGGGTTGTGTTTTTTTGTTATGAGAAACAAGATTCTCAATTCATGAGAAAGAAAAAAGTACAAATGGTGAATACTGAATAAGACATCTATCAAATGGAAAGGGAAAAAAGATAATGCAATGAAGGTCTGATGATTACAAATGACATTCCAATTCTGTTGTGTAATAACGAGAGGGGAAATCAGAAACTCCTTTGCTAGAAGAAGTGAAGATTTATGGCCCCTAGTCCAACTACAACACCTGAATTCATCATGCTAGACGCAGAAGTATATGGTAAGTCAGCACAATTTATGTAACTACCTGCATGAATCATCTGGCTGATGGCATAACAGAAAGTAGATTTGGCTATAACCTTTTTCACGTTGCTACTACTACTCAAGTCAGTGTACTCCTCTAAGAAGTCTATCACCATATGAAAACCAACATTTCAAAATAGAAAATTTAACTTATTAGAAATTTTCAGCAATATATGGAGATAAACACCCAACACAAGAATAAACATAATTGATTACAGATGGGGAGTTACCAGAACCTAAAAAGAGGTGAATGTGATCAACACTTGTCAATGCAATCAGGTTTGATGTAGTAGAAATGATCATACACTGACAATAAATCCTTCCGTCTTATTTCCACTATATATGATGGGACCTTGTNAACCATAAATTTCACCTTTTTCCCTTGTTAAATTTTGACTTCATTCAATCAACAATTAAACAAAAAGGCTTCGTTTGTCTCAATAGACGCCAAATAAGGAAATGACTTTTAGCCTCAGCCATTGGTATTGCCAGCATATTACCATGAATAAATGTTAATCACCCTGTATAAAAGACTTGCACAACATGAAATATAAACTCAACATAAAAAAGTTAAAGGTGCCATCCATCTTACAAGAAGGAAGTTATTTTTATGCATGTAGCAAGGCAAAGCAACCATGGCCTTCTAACTCCATTAAAAATCAAATTTTTCAAAAATAAAACTAGAAAACAA